TTTTTTCCTTCCCCTCCCCAAATTAAAAAATGTATATACAAGATGCGGGGCACCAGAATCAAATACAGTGCTAACAGGGGTTATACCATGGGGGAAGAACGTACGAAATCACACAGTACTTTATAAATACATTAAAAACAATAGCAAGAAGGATAAAACCTCTTATGTCCTTATCTTGGGGTTCATTTCACTTAGCCTCATCTTATATGCTCACATGTACATAGCTTTTGAGCTTTTCTGCTTGTCCTAGACATATACTAGTTATTGCAAATAAGGGAAACCATGGGACCTATGTTTCTTTGGGCCTGGCTTACTTCACTTACTGTAATTTTTTCCCAAGTCTTTCTATTTCCTAATGTAGGTTTATAATGTAAAGATCTATTCTGATGCATTGTCTTCTTTGCTTTTTGATTGTGGTTCTCACAACCGTAATCCTGAGGAACCACATGGTTTTATGGCGCTCTCTCTGTGACTCCTCCTGGAGTCCTCTCCATCAGAAAAATTTTCTTCCCTCTTTGGGAATTCAATTATTTGCCTTAGCTCCTGGTAATTTAAGTAGAGATCTAGTCTGCACCAATACTTAGTGGATTTGAGGATTAGTTGTCATTTTTTCTGCTACCTGGTAATTTGATTTCTTTAAAACTTTTTGTCATCATGTACATTGACATTATAAAACAAAAGGGAGCACGTCTCTAGTCATAGTAATACTGGTTATTGGCCATTTATAATAGAATACTATCTGGTTGGCTGTGTAAAATGGAACCCACTTTCCTTGATGCTCTATTTAAATGATTAAATAGCTGCATTAAAATGAAAACAAAAATGGAGTCAGAGATTCTATGCCCAAAGAGGAATTACCATGGAGGATTTTTCAAAGCCCCTTTGCTGACCTTGGCTCTGTCTCTCTTTAAGCCCTGGTCTCCTGCTGGGCCTCAGGAGAAGGCCTGGGCAGACCCTGCCCAGATTTGTGCAAAAGCGAAGTACATATAACAATCCTTTGCTTATATTTACCACTCCCTGCTGCCTGTGCAATGTCTTGAACACACACACACACACACACACAGCAACTTTTAAAGGTTTCACCGACATACTATCCTTTACATAATTTTTTTCCCTTTCTGATTCCTGGTATTTTTCTTAATCACTATGATTTAAGATTGTTCAAATGACCTTTTATTTATCTCCTGATACCTCTTTGAGAAAAATAGTGATAAGTTCTCTATGCATGACTTGAAATCTCTTCCATACTTTATTTTTGGTTTTGTTTCCTTATAACTGCTACTATCCTAAATGTAACTTTTCAATTTTTGATTAAGTTTTTTTTTTTTTTTTTTTAGCAGAATCATTACTGCTCATGAAGTTTGAGGCTCTTCTCAATGAAAACCATTTTTAAAGCTCAATGTAAATCCTAGTGTAAGTACATTTTAAAGACTCATGTGCCTGCTGAAGGCTTTCAACTGGATACTGGCGATGTAGGAGCTGATGAATTTATGAATGTGCTTTCCAAAATCTAGCTAATATTCCATAGTGCTTTAGCAGATTATTCAATAGCTCCGAGGAAAAAGGAACAAATGAACAAACCTTCCAAAAGGCAACTGTGAGATAATTTATGACCATTCACGGAGACTTTCTCTGACTAACCCATCTTTGCTTAATTTGCATCCCATTGCTTATATTTATTTGATTTGCTGTTTTGCTGTTAGTACTGCACAGTGTTGAGTATATGATTAGTGCAGTTACATAAAGAGCTCACCCATGCAGAAACACAGAAATGAAATAAAAATGTGAGAAGTGCAAATCCCAAGCAATGTCATAAATAGAGGAAATGACCACAGTTTTAGGGCAAATAAAGAACTAATACTTACCTGGTGTGGGATAGGTGGGTATTTGAATGTGGGGATTTCACAATAGCATTGAAATAAGAAAAGAGCTGGATGTATTTTGAAAATTAAAATGAAATTTATATCACATATAATCTGTAAAAGATACAGTTCAAGCCAAGCATGGTCATGCATTTCTGTAATTCCAACACTTAGGAGGCTCAAGAGGATCATGAGTTTGAGGCCAACTTGGGTCAAATGGTAAGTCTGTGTCTTCAAACCAAATTACAAACACAACACTAAAAAAAAAAGCCAAAAAATGTTGTGTAACCATTGCAAGTATCAGGTTACAAAAATAATGAACATATTTAAAATTGAGTTTTGGATATCTACTTTCTCATTTATTTTTGTGTTAATTTTCATTCTTTGTGGTTAGTCTAGGCATTAAAAGTAGTGGCAAAGTTATAACACTATTTTCAGTGAATATTCCTTAGCCTCAGTGGTATATATAAAACATTCTGATCTAATACAGCTCTGTCTTCTTTTTTTCCATAAATTTTTATCTGTATCTATTATATGCCCTGGCATAGATTTATAATTGTTGTTTTGTGCATTTATCTTTTCAATCATATAGAGAGAAAAGGAGAGTTGCAACCTGGGATACAACAATACTTCCTTTTGTGTTCATCTGTGCCTTAAATATACTAGGGGTATTTTTTCACACAGCTTTGCATTACTATCTAATGTCCTTTCTCTCTCTCTCTCTCTCTCTCTCTCTCTCTCTGTGTGTGTGTGTGTGTGTGTGTGGTGTGTGTGTGTGTGTGTCTGGGGCTTGAACACAGGGTCTAAGTGCTGTTCTTCAGCGCTCTAGCGCTCTACCACTTGAGCCACAGATCTTCTTCTGGCTCTTTGCTGGTTAATTGGAGATAAGAGTCTCTCTAACTTTCTTTCCTGGGTTGGCTTTGAATTGTGATCCTCAGATCTCGGCCTCCTGGGTGACGAGGATGACAGATGTGAGCCATTAGTGCTCACCCGGCTTTCCAGAATTCCAGTGTCACCTATCAACACAGAACTCTCAGTTTATCTTGCCCTGTGTTTTTTGAACTTCTTTGCTATCTTGACTTGAAGCATTTATTAAATTTGGAAATCTTTTGGCTATTAATTCTTTAAGCATTTTTATCCGCCTCTTACTTGCTCCTGCCTTTCTTAGATCCTGTCCATTGATGAGCTAGCTCCTGCTGTGCGTCTTTCCTAAGCTTTGTTTGCTTTTCCCATTTTCTTCTTTGTGTTCCTCAGAAAGGGGGGTCGAATAGCAATTAGCCATTTCCACATGGACTTATTCTTACTTCTGCTGAAACTCTAGTGCGTTCAATTCAGTTGTCCTGTGTAGTTCCATAATTTATATCAATTTATTAATATCCTTCTGTTTTCTAAGTCATCACTCTATTTTCCTTTAACTCCTTGCTTATGGTTTCTTACAGCTTTTTGAGCATATTTAAGAAAGTTGCTTTTAAATCCTGCTTTAGTGGATTGCTACCTTTGTTTCCTCTGGGACAGTTTCTATTCATTTTTTTCCTGCAAGTGGGCTGCCTTTTCTCATTTCTTTGTATACATCTTAGTTTGGATGGTGGAAAACTGAACGTGTTGAGTGTTATAACATGCTAACTTTTGAAAATCAGATCATCCTTTCCTCCACAAAGAGTTTGCTTTTTATTGTTTGTGTGGGTTGTATTTGCTTTTCTAGTGACTATTTACTATTTGATTTGAAAGATTGTTATTTATTCGAAGTTGTCTCTGAGATCCATATGTGAGATTTTTCTCAAACACATGGGGGAAAAAACCAACACAAAAGCCCTTCTCAATCCTTGTGCACTGGCTCTGCATTGGGACATTTATTCCGTAGCAAGCGGTATACAACTCTTCCCCATCTCCTAATCCCCGCTCACAAACATAATCCTCCAATTCGTGTTTACTCTTAATCACTCAAATTATGTCTCATAAGTGAGGAGAATAAATAATATTTTAACTGTGTCCCCACCAAAACTTTTCTGATACAGTACAGAATGATTTTTAATGGAAATGTTATGAATTATTTTTCTATAAGAGACAAGAATAAACTCCATAGGCATCCATGTAGCATGCCTGTAGCCAAAATATATCTCACTGTTCATATTTTCCTTGAGGAAAAAAATAGACTATGCCTACTGTTTGCAAAATTCTACCAAAAACCACTGTCAACAACCTTGTTCTTCAGGGACCCTGTCTGTGAAGAAGCGCACATGGCTAGCCTTGGTAGACTCTGCGTTAGTCCATATTAGAACTGCTTTGCTTCCTGAGTTTTTATCTTGCTCCTGCCTAGAAGGGAGCAAAATACAGCTGGTTATCAGTGGCTTGGCCTGTAATCCTAACTACTCAGGAGGCTGAGATCTGAGGATCGCGATTCAAAGCCAGACCTGGCAAGAAAGTCTGTGAGACTCTTCTCTCTAGTGAACCACCAGAGAACTGGAATTGGCTCTGTGGCTCAAAGTGATAGAGCGCTAGCCTTGAGCAAAATAGCTCAGGGTCCCAGACCCTGAGTTCAAGCCCCAGGATTGGAAGGAGAGAGGAGAGAGGGAGAAAGGGAGATGGGAAGAGAGGGAGAGGGGAGAGGTGGTGTGCCATGTTGTAGATTGTGAATCTAGAAGGAAGCAGCACCTGATGGATTCCATGGCGTTATTTACCTCTGACGGACAGTCTCTATGGTATAGCCTTATCAAATGGAGTCACTGGGTGTCGGGGGTGGGGGGGGGTGGGGGCATGAGGTGAGTTCTTTTCAGCTATTGTATTAAGTGCTCAGTAGATCCTGCTGCGTAGCATCTAAGTATGCTGAGTAAGGTTGGGAAAGATGAACCCCTAAGTCCCTGTTTTGAAAGATGAAATTAAAAATAAAAGAATGAACAAAAAAAAGAAGCAAAATAGTTAATGGCAAAGCGAATTCCACGGCTGACTGCTTGGTGTGTGGGCTGCTGTGGAGAGCCGCGGTGGTGGCATCTCCGTTTGCCCTTTATTTCTCATCTGGCTCAGGTAGGCATGAGTCATCCAATGCTTTGGGGAACATGGATCACTGCACAGCTTGGGGACAAGGTTCAGCTGCTACCCTTAAAGTCTAAAATAGAAAAGATTTCATAAGGGGAACGAAGAAGCTGGAGGAATTGCTCTTCCTCCCCTGCGTTCTGAAAGGAAGATCAAAGGAAAATTTGGAATGGAAGGAAGAGATAAGACAGGAGCACGCAAGTATGAAGAACCCTTTGGTCTGTTGCTTTGTCCTCAAATGGACTCATTGTAGGGGTGTTAGGGATCCCCCTTTTAATTCTTAGATCTCTGAATAGGAGCAATGCCATTAGCGTGAGTTTTCACTTGAAGAGAAGACTGACTGTCCCAAATGAAACCGCTCCATTGTTCTTAATATGTAGAGACTGTCACTCTTAGGAAGGACATCGTCCCAATGGCCAAGAACAAATGGAGGGTTGGGTCCCAAGGAGGAGGAGTATATGTGAGGGCGTAAAGGTGCCTTTATGAGATGGAAGGTTCTAGAGACCAAGTCATTGAGAGAAGTCATGACTGTGAAACTGTTCAAGACTAAAGTAGGCAAAAGAGACCAGGACACGACATAAAACTCCTGATTCTGGATTGGATAAAGCTTGGATAAAGAAGCATATTTATTGTGATGAGATGAAATATTGGGGGAAATTGTCTTAAATATGAGTAAGATAGAGAACACAATTGAAGTGGTGTTAATGACATCTTGAGTTTGATCCATATGTGTATGGTTATGGTAGACAATGTTCTTAGGAAATACCAGTTTAGGGGGAAATAAAGGTTACTGTGTTGGCAGCTTACTAAAAGAAGAATGCATGTAAAAGCTTGAGATGTGAGGCAGTGGTTGTGGAGAAAGTCTAATGCATGGGATGGGGGTAAGGTACTGAATGTCCAATTCGATCCATTCTCACTGGACTGTAACAGAGCAACACAGGGCAGAGTAGAAGCTGCTTGATTATTGAGATCTCTTCTTCTCAGGCAGCACCCCAAGAAGTGGTCCCCTGTCCACTGCCCCGTCCTCCCTCCAGGGTTGATGGGAAGGGAGATAAATCCCTTGTAGGTATTTTGAACCCCAAGGTGACAGAAATCTAATCCTTCATTGATTGAGCCATCCATGAACTGGACTTGAGTTCCTCTAAAATGATGAGATTGATTTTCTACACGAGACAGAATAAGAGCCTGAGATAGAAAATGAGATTGGAGTCAGGGGGGAAAAGGCATTTTTCACACTTGAGGCTGCAGCAGAGGAACCCCATCACTGCAAGAGCATTCTAACTCTTTTGCTTAAGTAGTTTATCTCCGAGATGTGGTCAGTGACCTGCTAGCGTGTGAAAGCCTGCTGTGCCCATCTCTTCGCAGCCCTTGCCAAGAGGATAGCTTGGAAACTGCTGGAGAGAGAACATTTACACCACAGGAATCGACACTTTCGACAAAGCAGGACCTTGTCCCCATTCCTTAGCCCCCAAGAGGTCAAGTTGGTCTACTCTTTCCAGGATACCACTGGCCTGAACTCAGCTCTCATGATCCAGGGGGAGGTGACGCTGGGGAAAAGGTATTAGGAGTTCTTTTTAACAATTTTTGGATGGTGATTAAAGATCTGACAAGAGTTTGACCTCTTCCTCCTTGATTATTGATTACTTAAAAATATAAAGGTATAGCTGGGTGCTGGTGGCTCGTACCTATAATCGATCCTAGCAACTCAGGAGGCTGAGATCTGAGGATCATCGTTCAACGCCAGCCCGAGAAGGAAAGTCTGTGAGACTCTTTTTCTTCTTTATTTATTTTGGTCAGGTGGGGGGGCTTGAACTCAGGGCCTGGGTGTTGTCCCTGAGCTTTTTCACTCAAGGCTAGCTTTCTATCCTTTGAGCCACTTTGAGCCACAGCATCACTTCTGGTTTTCTGGTGGTTAATTGAAGATAAGAGTCTCACAGGGCTGGGCACTGGTGGCTCAGGCTTGTAATCCTAGCTACTCAGGAGGCTGAGATCTGAGGATTGTAGTTTGAAGTCAGCCTGGGCAGGAAGGTCCATGAGGAAAGCTCAAGAGTACTGCTCAGGCCCTGAGTTCAAGCCTCACAACCATGATAAATAAATAAAGGTATAGATCTGTAGATCTATATCTTGATATAGATAAGCATAGATCTATAGCTATGTCTCTATTTATTTATTTTTTGTCAGTTGTAGGGCTTGAACTCTGGGCCTGGGCGCTGTCCCTGAGCTCTTCAGCTCAAGGCGAGTACTCTACCAGTTGAGCCACAGCACCACTTTCTATGTCTTTATTTTTATAAAGATATATAAATAAAAATATAGATATGGATGATGTCTACCTATATTTTTATTTTCATATAGTATTGTATATATTCACATGTAAGCTCTTTAGCATAGCAGGTTTTCAGAAGGCCAGACATAGCATGTCAGCATTGTGAGAATACACATTACCACAAAGTAACATTTTTGGACCTCTATCAAGCTTTTGAGTTGACATGCTAGTTTATTGACTGTTTGATTTCACACTTAAAAGCCAACACTTCTCCTTTTAATGTCTATCTTTATTTACTTGCTTTTTGTGTGGTGCTTAGGCTTAAGCCCACAGCCTGTGTAAGCTATCCAAGCAAGCACTCTACCCCCAAACAAATCCCCAAGCCCCAATGTTCATCTTTGATCAAATGATCTGAAAGTCTTGATTTGAGCTGGAGAATCATGGATTTTCCCCCCCTCAGTGACCTATACATATGAATTAACATTTTTATTTATATCAGGAATGAGAAGTTCAACCAGCTTGCTTTGAAAGTCTCTGGTACAAGTCCCATCGTCCACTAGACCAACTGGGAATGGTTTTGTGGGGGGAAAATACATGCTTGTGGATACTATCTGATTGTAAAGCAATCTGTATGTAATGATCATGAATATCAGTACTGATCTCAAAGCTCTGTTTATTAGTCTGTGCCTTTGAAATCACGCTGGTGGCTTTTTAAGTTAATTAGTCTGCAGTTAGTGACCCCCCTGGTCCTTGGATATTAAAAGCTTCAGAGCAGATGCCCTTAGCTTTGAAGAAGAGACTTTCTGTAACCGGGCTCCACTCTCCTTCTCCTACTTTCGTGACCGCTGCCCTTTCCACGGGCCTCCAATCCCTCCAGTCCAATTACTGCCAGGCTGAAAAATGTGCCCTGCATTGCTTTGCCCCTGTGCCCCTTCTGCGCTTAGAAGTCGCCAGCCCTGCGTTTCGGCCTTTCAGGATCCCACCCCAGAACCTAATGAAACATTTCTGCTTCCCGAATCACTCAGCCCGCAGCGCTGTCCTCATCCTCACCTCTCCAGGGCCTGCTCTGTTCCAGTTCTTCACGCAGCAGCTATCACCCGCTAACGCGGCATGTTGTCCTTTCCTATAAGACAGACTCTCCGAAGGGGAGATCTCTTGCAACATAGAACATAAAAACACACATACGTATATCTTGTGTATTTCCATCTGATATGCCTTGCAGTGAGTTGGGACACAAAAAGCACTTAGTACATCGTATAATACACCCGTCACTTCTGGCATATCTATGTCTATATCTCTATCTATGTATCTGTGTCTGTCTGTCTGTCTGTCTGGTGTGGATACTGGGGCTTGATTTCGGGGCCTCATGCTCTCACTTGACTTTTTCCACTCGAGGGTTACCTAGCCCTCTACCACTTGAGACACACCTCCACTTCCGGCTTTTTAGTGGTTAGTTGGAGATAAGAGTCTCAGGGGTTTATCTTTCTGGGCTAGCTTTGAATGGTAGCCATGATATCTTAGCCTCCTCCCGAGTAGCTAAGATTAAGGTCTGGGCTCTGGCCTTCATAGTTCTTTCGAGCGTGTGTGTGTGCTCATGGACACGAAGCCCATCTTGGTTGAGGGTTTTAGATGTCAATGTAGGCAGCAGTGATGATGACTGGGATACTGCCAGTAACTTCTTGATTCCATTTCTCTTGGTTTGAAATCATTGTGTCTGAGGTCTAGTCCTTGAAGCCATAATAGATCTATGTGATTATGGAGAACTATTTATTCTATATCCTTTCCTGCAAGGGGTGACTTTTAGGGATTTAAAGAAAGTGGTCTTTTATAACCTTCTAGCCTCTTGTGCTATTGAGGGGTCACTGAATTTCCATTATATATATGTTTAATTCATATATATATTCATCTATCTGTCTATCTGAATTAGCAATGTTCTAAACATCATAGTCCCCTACAGCTCTATCTAATTTCTGCAACCTTCACATTTAAAAAAAGGACATCAGGATAATATGTAGCTATTGTTTACATTTTTTTCCAAACCTATAAATGCTAACCACTTTGTAAGCTTTGTACAAACCCCATTAATGAAAGATTTAAGCTATTTAATTACGTTAAGTATTTTCTGACATCAATATTCATTCCTTGGTATTCAAATCACATTTCCGATATTCTAAGAAGGATTGGTGGGGATTAATCAAAAAAATATTTCTTAGGAAAGAAATGACAGAAAAGTGGTTGGAAGATCCTTTGAAATGTTGGCTCTGCCCATTACGAGATCTGCCAATTCATTACTAGAGAGACAAAGCTCTTGCCACCCTCTGACCTGAATTCATTTCAGAAGCTATCTGATTGATTTCAGGCACTGAGTTTGGCCGTATTAGAACAATTACAGTTCCACTAATGATAAGGTGAACTTTTATGTTTGCCCAGTTCTTCAAAGGTTCAGTTGAATTTAAGGCTGACAATGGTATTCGCATGTGGGATTTGGTTCTTAGCTATTACTTTCACAAGCATTGGAAGGGCTCTATTCCTTCCTCTGAGAAAAGTTTTAATATGCGACAAGTCAGATGATGGGACAGATTTTATATTTGAGCTGTGGTTGAGAGGTGGAGAAAGGAAGCCCTGGCTGAATGGTAGGAAGAGGAATGTGTTGTAATTCAAATGATGACAGAGAGTCTAGGAACAGGTTTCATAGAAAAATCTGCTAGTTCCTGAGGTTCCAAGATCAGAATGAAGTTGTGTTTCCCAAGACCCAAGTTGCATTTATCCAAAGACAATGGCAAGACTAGGTTTGGTTATGTAAGAGGCACGTTAAATTCTAGAGGAAAGGAGAGATTGTCGCTCAGAAGCACAGTTTTCTCTTTTCCTCTCCAGTCCGTGAACTAACTTGAATCCCACAGCCTTGCTTCTATTCTTCTCACCTCCCGAAAAGAATTGC